TCTTTAAAGAATAAGCAGGGGCAAAGGGGAATGAGATGCCTCATAGCTTGTGCTGTTCCTTATCTTGCAAGGTAGCTGTATGTATGAGGACTGAAGGGAAGGTTATGGTATGGTGTAGCCCTATCCCTGCTCTCCTGGAACTGGGCTGGGTAAGGCCATCAGTGTGACAGAAGGAGCTGATGATGCTGTGACCAGGTTTTTCTGAGAAATCAAGTTACTGAGCCAGCCGCTTGGCTGTGTAGACATCTACACTGTGAGCTTGGCACCACCACTATGGCTTGTTTCTGGAGTTAGAGATGCCTTATAAGTAAGCAGAACTGTGCCACTTTACCAACTCCAGCCAGCAGGAGAGGGCCAGGATGTTGCTATTACAGATCCAAACCACTTCTCCTCACCTGCATAACACAGTGTGATTTGCCGCAGGAAAGCTGCAGCACTGTCAGCACTGAGTGGAAACCTGGGCTCTTGCCACCCACCGTATCCACAGCATGGTTTAAAGTGCATAGTGAGATGAGATCTGTACCCATTTCCCTTTGTGTATGCCTGTGTCACATTATTCTGGCAGCTAAACCACTTTGCATGAACACTCGAATTTGGAGCCTTATTTAAAAGATAGTAGTGAGGAGCCAGTGACATTGCACATAGGCTTTGAGGGGTATCAGGCTCTATTCCTGGATTAGGTTCTGACAGTGCCCATGAAAGCAGGGCAGAGCTGTGCTGCCTTTGCAGAGCATGAAGGGGATGCACACCTAGGTGGCTACTGTTTTCCAGCAGAACAGGACTGGCTGCCTCCCTTGATGCATCTTTGGAAAGGAAAGACAGAATGGTTTCTAGGGCAGTGGGCCCCCCTTCCCAGCACATGTCCCACTTGGCCACAGAGGAAGGAAAGCCCCATTGGAACGTGCCTGCATAACTACAGCAAGCAGTGTTGTTAAGAAGTCCAGGAGACCTTGGGGTTTCCTCCCAGTCCAGGAAGCCCAGCTGACACTTTTGGCATACCTACAAAACCATTTGCTTGTAAAGTTAAGTCCTTTGTGCTTTGCCGTGAAGCATTACAGCTAGGCTATAGCAGTAATCCTCTCTTGACACCAGTGATGGGAGAAGAGGGCAGAGAGAGCCTAAACAGCTTTGGAGAGCTGCAAATCTGAGAAGTTGCAGAAGCAGCAGTGTGCAGGAGTTCAGATCTGTCCCACTGGGTCTCTGCCCAGCCCTGCACTGCCAGCTCTCACCAGGCACCGAGTGGTCATATCTGAGTGAATCGATGACACTGTGTTATTTACTGCTTGTTTATTCCTCCATCTCCAAATATATTATTCTTTCCTTTCCTGAAGGGACAGATTAGGCAAAAGAATGTGTCCTTTGCTGCTGGCAGCTTGGTTTGGCTGCTGTTTTCTTCTACTGATGTTTTTAATAAGGGAGGAAATGGCTGTTCATCTTGGGGAGAGCCATTCTGTCATAAGCTGACATTCCCTGGGATTTGTTTTTATTAGCTCAGTTCTGCTGTGCCGGCGCTGCCAGAGCTGCTCATTGATTTCACAGCCTGGATAATGGCTTGGTTGCCTGTTCATCCACTGTGGTGGCTGTTGGGGTTCCTGCAGCTCCTCCTGCACAGGTTTCTGACAGCACTGTTTTCCACCAGCCCTTGGCCCACCTGAGCAAAAGAAAGGCTTTACTCCAAAGCCAAGGAGCGAAGGAGTGTTTCCTTCACTGAATTTGGGGTCGGGTTCTTCCCTAAGTTACAGATGTAAAACTTACGTAACAAAGAATGTTTTTACGTGTACATTTTTACAGTGTTAGTGCAAACTTTTCTGCTTTTAAGCCTGCAATGCAGTTTTGGAATCCAAAGGAATACATCCACCTGGATGTTATTGTGTAGTTCGCTTAATAATTGTTCCTATCCTGAAAATAATCCATGTGTCAACTTACCTTTAAAGCTAGCATGGCTTTAGCTGTAACAGCACTCAGTGGTTTGCATAAGGGACCATGAAAGTCTTGATATACAGGTCTTGGCAGTCATGATGCATTTGGGCAAGTTGGTGTTTGATACTGTCAGGAAATTGATACTTGTCATGACATCTGGGATCTCCCATGGGTTCTGGTTGCCAGCATCTTCAGGAGATTATTGAGAAGAACAAGTTGACTGTTATCAGCACTCTGGTGGTTTTGAATGTGTTTCACATGCTTTAGGGACCTTAGGGCTTGCTGGGTTCTACAAGGATATCATTAGTGTACATGTCAAAGCTATTTTGTCCTTGGTCACGGAGTGCTTGAACTGTGCTGGGGAAGAGCAGGGTAAAGAGAAGATGTGCTTATTTTGTGTGTCTCAGTGGTTGAGGGAATGAGCTTAGATATTGCAACCCAGGCACAAAATGTCAGTGTACTATTTATTATACTTACCCCTGCAAAGTCTTGTGCCAATTGGGCAAACCAGACATTGCTGCCGTATTTGTTATGCAACGTTACAGGTGATAGCAAGGATAATCTCAGAGTATCGAGGAGTGATTACCTCAATTCCTCCTTTTTCTACATTATTCCTGCAACTAGCATACTCTCTATGGCTAGTGGCAGGGATTGGTCTCTTCTTAGAAAGAAGAGTATTAATTCTAAGGCCAGTTCTCTATAGTGTTTTCCTCATTGACTGGGATACTGGACTTGAAGGTATACTGGGTATATTTGTAGATGACACTTATCCGGGAGGAACTTTTGACTCCCTGGAGGATAGAGAGGCCTTGCAGAGAGATCTTGACAAACTAGAGGGCTGAGCCACATGAACAAGAGCAAGTGCTGGATTCTGCAGCAGGGAGGGGGCAAGTTTGGTTATGTGTACAAATTGGAGGACAAGAGGCTGGAAAGCGGCCTTTCTCTAAACTTTGTCTCATATATGGGAAGAAACCCTGAGTGTTCCTTTTGCTAGGCTAGCTGTGCCTTGGAATTTTTGAGTCTGTGCCACTGGGCTCATGTCACCCACTCTTCCAAAGCCCTTATGGTTGTTGTCTCCTTGCATATACCTGCGTTAGCAGCATTGTCCTGCTCTCCCAGTCCCAGAGCCTTCTGTCACTTTTGCCTGGCAGGTCCCCTTGCTTAGGTGAGCTGGCAGGGCTGTTCAGAGAGATGTTATCTGCTGCTCCTCTGCAGACTCAGATGAAAAAGAGAATGATTTGAAAGGCTCAAGGTTTGCATTAGCATGTTTTTGTATTGAATTTGGAGGAATGGATGAGCTGAAATGACACAGATAGAGGAATGTGTGGCCACCAGGAAAACAATGTGCACTTAGTCTTCTTGGTTTGCTGGGTGCTAGAGGAGCTGCATGAAACAGGCATTTCTATCATGGTCAAGTGCACTAAGCGCACAAGGATTTCATGCCTCAGTCCTGTACTTGATACAACTAACTCCTGTGATATCAGAAATGCTCAAACAGTTCTGAAGGAGCATTTGGGGAAAGGAGACCTCATCTCTCTGCCTCCTTCAGAGAGTCTCCTTCGAAAGAAAACCTCCAGCATGGAAGAGATGGAGGGGAAATCCACTCCCCATCTTTCATTATCATTTGATGCCTATCACTCATGCTAATAAAGCCAAAGAGCTGAAAGATTTGAGTTGTTTCTCACGGGTGCTGACATAGCAGAGTGTATATCAGGAAAGGCCTGACATTTGATGTGGCTTTATCATTGGCAGGCAGGCAAAGAAAATGGATAAATTAATCACCTTTTTCCCTCCATCTGTCATAGGTTTTTATCCCACAGGGAGGAAAATGTTTCCAGTTTGTCCTGGCTTTTTGAAGTGTGACACTATTGTATTTGGCAGTCTAAATAATGCCTAAGTCATCAAAATGCCAGAAGTGGAGGGAAATGTGAAAAGGCCCTGGAGACTTCCAGGCAGTCTTTTACTCAGCTCTTTGACTCTAACTGCTTAGTCCTGAGCAGCCACTTTGTGACTTGCCATGTATTTCTCTTTTCTTATTTACATTTTACTAAGTAGTGATATCTCTAATTTCACCACATCTGGTGGAAACCTGTGGAGTTGCTGGTGAGTTTTACAATCTTGGTAAGGTGGTGGAATGCCCTCACTATTAGAGTCTTAGAGTTTCAGAACTCTGCCCTCTTTTTTCTGCTAAGCAAATGCAATGCAAGTTCAGGAGCGGTTCAGGAGCAGAGATGTTTATCAGCCAAGCCAAAGCACACCTGTGCTGCACTTTGCAAAACATTGTCGCTGGATTAACTGCAATGGCCAGGCTTGCATGGTTTGTGGTAAGTGTGTTACAAGCGAGGGAAACACTCACTTGCCCAGCTTTCTTAACACCATTGTTTTGTTAGAATTTAAAACAAAAGTCATGTGAAAAGAGATGTCTTTTTTCCTTTTTTTTTTTTTTTCTTCTCCTGAGGAGTGTTCCAGGGCTCAGTTTGACTTCCCTGGAGTTTTAACATATGGCTCCAGGTCTTGAAAAAAAAAAAGTGTTCTTTCTTGTTCCCCGTTGAAAAGAAAGACAAGACATTTAAGTGTTCTCTTTCTGACCAAAACCTTCAAGCTCATGTATGTCTGTGGATGAATAAAGAGTCTTTTTTCACTGCTAAATGGTTTTAACAGACTTGTGGTTGTCAACTCCACAATGTAGTGTATGAAACATTTTTACACCTGAATCACAATGTTTGATGGTTCTTTATACAGTACATCCTCTTCTTTGCCATGTTTGTGAAAAGTGGAGCTGCACTCAAGACTAGCTATGATGTCTCAATGTTTTCAGCAACAGCATCATTATTTCTAGGATATTCTGAAGTCTGAATTTGTCTTGGCACTCATAATTTGCCAGATACTTTGCAGTATGAGTTTCAGGCTGCTGGATTCAAGTCTAGGTCCATTTAGTCTTAATATCCTTCATTAGTTACTAGTTAATTGTGCCATGACTTGGTGAGTCTGAGGGTCTCAGATCATCTCACTGTTTACCTGGGATAGATTAGAAGTTATGCAGTATGTGGCTGATGATCTTTTTATTGTTTTATCTCCAGCACAGCGATGCAGTGCATGACCTGCTTCTGGATTTTATCACCTGGGTGGGCATCCTGCTGTCACTTGTCTGCCTCCTGATCTGCATCTTCACCTTCTGCTTCTTCCGTGGGCTACAGAGTGACCGCAACACAATTCACAAGAACTTGTGCATCAGCCTTTTTGTAGCAGAACTTCTCTTCCTCATTGGCATCAACCGGACTGACCAGCCGGTAAGAGGCAAAACGCTTTCTGTTCCCACTGCGGGCTCTCACCTCACAGCATACAGGATGTTGCCATGGGGTGGGATATATTCCAGTGCTATTTAAGCCCTATTGAGCTGTTGCAGGGTGAAGTTATCAACTGGAAGTCAGATTCTGGTTACTGAAAGGAGGTCAAGATACTTGCTTGTATTACCTGCCTTGAGATCTCTGGACAGATGGAAAAAACTACTTCCTAAGCAATGCGTTTCCACATTTATTTAATTCTAGATTGCATGTTGGTATTCTGCTTTAAAAAAGAAAAAGCCTTCTTCATAGCACTGGGATGGATTCTGCATTCTCATGGTATTTCCTGTTTTTCATATCCCTTCCCATAATATTCTGCCTATAACTGCTGTGTTGGAAAGCCCCTGATGCATGTCAGACTGTGCACAGCACCCAAGGATATTCACAGGGCATGTTGACATTTGGAAAGTCGCCTAGGCAAAAATGTTTATGGAGAGACTTTGGGAGTAGAAACACAGCCTTTGTGAATCTACGGATAAACTCCAGTGCACTGGAGCACTGAAGTCATCCATCCTGCATACTTGTGTGCATGTATGCCTGCATAACTGTCTGTCAACACACGCACCAGTCAGAAACAGAAATCTGTGTGCACGCAAACACACATACCCTGGAGTTAACAGCCAGAGAGTCACACTGAAATTGAGGGTCTGACTTGAAAATCATGGGAGCCATGGAAAAAGCCTGCTCTCATCTTAGTTACTGTAGGGGTGTTGTTTGTAAATAGTATGTGTGCATATGTTTAATCAGCAGGTAGTACAAGTGTGCTTATGCTGCTTATACTATATACATCTGCATGTGTTTTTTTACCGAAGTATGTACATACCTGCTTTTGTATCTTTGAATATAATTTGCATGTACAGTTGTGTCTGTTTAAAAATTGTTCATATATATGTTTCCAAAGTGAAAAAAATGTTGTTACGCTGGAGATGGTAAAACAAGAACTCCTTCATTCTTATTAAACCTCCCAGTGAGAACGTGTTTTTGTGTAAACTTGAGTGTTACATTAAGTTTGTGTGGTTGAAACACTTTCTCTGGCTCTTTTGAAATCTGTCTGCAGATTGCTTGTGCTGTTTTTGCTGCCCTCCTGCACTTCTTCTTCCTGGCGGCTTTCACCTGGATGTTCTTGGAAGGTGTGCAGCTTTACATCATGCTGGTGGAGGTTTTTGAGAGTGAACACTCCCGGAGGAAGTACTTCTATTTGGTTGGCTATGGCATGCCTGCACTGATCGTGGCTGTGTCAGCAGCAGTGGACTACCGGAGCTATGGCACAGACAAAGTGTGAGTGGGGCTTGGCTCTACTTGGACCTGGGCAGGAGGGTGGGAGAGGGGAGGATGGAGGGAAGTGAGGAGGCTGGGACACAGCAGGTGAAGGATGCTGTGCAGGCAGTTGTCAGCTGAAAGGCACGGCTCTCTGTCCCAGTGCAGCGCATGATCATACAGCAGAAATTCCCCACCATGTTGAGATTTGCTAAGGTGTTTTCCTGAAAATTCTGTTGCGGAAAGTTTCATCGCATCGTTTATAACATCAGCAGAGGTAGCTCTTTCAAGTCTCAGCTTTGTATCAACAAGGTCACCCTTCTTCTCTAACCAAAGGGTATTTCTCATTTGCACAATGAAACATTGCTTTTTTCTTCTTTATTAAGTGTTCTACCAAATTATTTTGCTTGGAAGCTCAGCTAGATGGTGTCTGTAGAGTGCATTATGCTCTTGGTGAATCAGAGCAGCTACATCATTTACCATTATGAATATTCTTAAATGTTTTCAATGTTGCTGAAACTGGAATCAAAGCACAATTTAGATGTTCGTACAGCACCATCTAATAAAAAAACAGGGAAAATTCAACCTTTGATTCTCTTTGCCAGCTTTGTTACAGTAGCACAGTGCATTTTTATTGATTTTTTTTTTAATTTAATTTCTTAAAATTAAGCCTTGTCAGGCTGCCTTTCCATTATCATTTTAAAATGTTCAGTCTGAAGGCACACGTAGCAAAAAGCGTTTCTAAAGTGTTTCTAAAATAGATTTTAGCATAGCTTGGGTCAGAGTGCGGCAGTAGTTGATACTTCGTTAAAACCAACTGCAAAACGTTCTCCTGCAAATCTTATTGGCATACAGTTACCTGAGTCTTTGCAGAAACAAGTCTGTAGTGCAGTGGGACAGCTCATGATCTATTACTGTGCAGCAGGTAGGCTTCATCTCAGGTGCATATTTGCATCATTCTCCTTCCACGAAGTGGGAAAATAGCAACCTGAATTTATATGCATCATACTTTGTGGAAAGGAAATAGTCCATGAAGATAAGGGCAAGGGGGAGTAAATTTTCAGGGAACTTTATCAATTTATCCCAGCAGTGTGACCTACCTTAACAGGCCTAGGGGTTAAAGAAAAGGTAGCAGAAGATCCAATTACAGTTTCTGGAATTCCTGTAGTAGATGTATTTCCATCAGTCACCTCCTGCTTTTTGCCCCAATCAACTCTGCTATTCACATCCTGTCTTGAATGATATATAATCCCCCACTAAATCAGGTGTTGAAACATTCTGCTGAGGCAGAAGGCAAATTTATTTTTGCTGTAGTGTTTTGACCGAGACCCATCTCTTCACAGTGGCCCCTGTGGGCCCACTTTAGGCTGTGAGTCCAGATCCCTAGAAGGTCAGCTGAGATGCTCCCTTGCATCCGCTTTCTCCACCAGTCTGGTTTGCAGCCTAGTTGTTCAGCACTTTCAGATTGTGTCTGAGGAGATGAAGCACGGGTTTGCTTGCCCAGCTGCCTTAAAATGCTGTTTGCCTGTGTCTTCTGCAGCGTTACTGTTGCAGGACTTGTAGCAGCAGAGCAATTCTCATGCTGGTTTGAGATGAAAACTAACACCAAACACATTGTTGAAAATTTCTTATAGTAAAAGAATTTGCCCAAATCCAGGGTATCCTTTTGGACATGAGGCAGTGGCGTTTGATTGATTTGTATCTCTCCCCATTTATGCAGAGTCTCTCTTGATGCTCTGCAGGAACAAACCACATACAAATGAGTGGCAATTACCTGCATACAGCGGCCTGTCTGTAGCATGGGAACATATGTGGCACCTAACCACAGCTCCTATAAAGCACCAGAGCAGCTTTGCATTGCTGAAACATTTCCACTCCCATTACATGTGCAAATTTTCCTTTTTGTAGCACAGCAGAATAAACAGCCTCCGTAGAACATGCTGCCTTTCTCTAGCCCAAATATTTCTATACTTAGGTAGTACAAGAAGAAAGTTAAGCTGAAATTTGCTGGAGATGAGCTACAGAGCTTTACATTTTTTGTGTGTTGACAATGCAGCAGTCAAAAGCCTGTGCCAGTAAAATCTCTTTCCCTCCCCATAGCATGAAGTAGCATTTTTAATGATTAAACATGTATACAATATTTTACAAATAAATATTTACAGAGATTTATAGAGCCTAAAATATTTATTTATAATCTCTAATTCTAGTGTGCACAATTTTATCACATTCTCATAGTGGAAAATAAAAAATATACAATATGTTTTGTATAACTATCATGCTCCATCTGGTTGATGGATGATGATGTATTTTTCTGTGTAATGTTATTAGAAGGGTAGAACTGATTAGAATTTGTAGTGAACTATATGCCAGGCATACATAATTGGATTGCAAGAAGTTGCTTGGTTTAGCCGGGTTTTGTAAAACATCCTCTGGAATATATTACTTGCCTTCCTCCATTATTTATTGCATTTGTTTAAACAGGACTTATGGAGCTGTTAGTGTTATTTGTTTTTCACCTGGCATTTGGTGCCACCCTTCATACATCTTGGAAAGATTTGCTTAGACACCCCGTGTAGGATTTCTTGATTTGATTTTCCTTTCTAAACCCAGCCATTGTGCCCAGATTATGTAGCCAGAAGCAGGCAATTATTCCTCTCTCTGGTTCTTTCTTCATCAGTTGGTGCTTGTGATTTTCTGCCCTGGTGTTTATATTGACGCTTTGGAGTAGCTGCCCTCTGAATTTACAGTCTTACACTTAATTATGCCAAAAATTGGCATTGTCTTTTTTCCTTTCCTTTCCTTTCCTTTTCTTTTCTTTTTTTCTTGGTTCTTTTTTTATTTGTTTGTTTTTGTTTGTGTAAGAGCAGTTCAAATGACCCATATTAGGGATTTAGGGCTCATTAGTTTGATGCTATAGCTAGGCAGTGGCACAGTGATTGCATTAAAAGACCATCCCATTCAGGCAGGTTGGACTGTTTGTGTGAGCAAGCTGAGCCATGGTCCCTTTTGCCCAAATTACTGCAGTGTTACATCTCATGTCATTCTGACTTTCTGACTAAAGTAAAGGTGCAAAGAAGGAAGCTCCACTGCGAACGCTGTGGTCGGGGGATCGCAAGCAATTCCAGCAATGCTTATGTTAACTTCTAAGTAGACATTTCTTACACTGGCCAGTTATTTTCAGCAGCGCAAGAAAATCTGAGGTCTTAAAAATAACTGAAAGCAAACATCACAGTCTAATGGCTATAACAAATCAGCTGCTGAGTCTTAAATGTCCGTGTCTCCAGTTTTGCTACAGAAAATAAGATACTAGGATTACAGTTTTATAAAGCTACACCATTTGCCTTGTCCTGTGTGTTAACCAAATCCATCCATCTCCTGCCTGGATCTGATGTCAAGCACTGTGGTGGGCAGCGCTGTGAAATGCAGAGGAAAAATGGCATTTGCAGTTGTTAGTGTGCAAAAATTACTTGTGTTAAAAATTCAGTAATGGACTTTAGCAACATGCCTTTGAGAAGACTTGCTCAAGTAGCAGGCCATCCCAAATTGACAGTCAGAAGCTATTCCATATTCCCATACTATCCTGGGTTTTATATCAATGCCTATTACGAATCTCAGAGGAGAGCAGCTATGCTTTGAATGGCTCAATATATTCTGTAAAACGTACTTGTAGGTATATTCATCCACTGGTGATCAAATTCATTGTGCCAGGAATGTCTCTATAGTTTCTCTCCCTCCACACAGTTTGGTATGCTATAAAGCAGGATATACATGGCAAGCAATCCAGCTGTCATAAAGCAAAATGAAAGCCTGGGATATGTACACAGCCTCCAATTCCATCAGCCAGCCACCAACATTATTTGCATGTTAATGTTGCTGGAAAATAGCTTCTAACAATACAGTACGTCTTGGATGGCTCTGTGAACTTGTTTTATTTTCAATGTTTGCTCTGGGTATTTGGTGGAGGAAACGTGAGCAATGTGGATGCTGGACTGCATTAAGCAGAACATATATTGCACCCTTGGAAGGCACGTCCTGCGCATACATATCCCATTACCGCACACAGACAAGGAGGCTGCATGGCCATGTGAAACGAACTACTGAACTCCCATGAACAACATGGTATGTTAGGGCTCTTCAAATTTTATGGTCCAATGGCAGCTAATGATTGTTTATTGGTTATATTTAATACACACCGGGGATAGTTTAGTATTTGATTTCTCTTCATGCAGAAAACAGAGTAAACTCTTTGTAGTCTTTATTACTTGGGAAAAGCTTTAGGTGAATATAGTGACTTGTCATTGTGGAAAGGAAGGAAATTAAAAAGTAAAGAAAAGCAATGGCACGGAGCTCATTACAAGCACAGCACTGAACATGCTGGTGTGACTCTTCGAGACAGTAATGGGGTTTTGAGCATTTCCCACATCCATGGATGTGTGGATAATCTGCTCTGCATTGTGCTGAGCCCTGAAGCAGCTTGTTTGCTTAATGACAGCAGAGTATAAACTTGTAATAAGCAAGTCCGTGTTCACAGTGCAGCTGTGCATGGGGGGTCAGAAGTAACCCGGCAGCCCAAGATTAGCAACTTTTGGAAGTGAGTTGGCTGATTGCTTCCTTGTTTCAAGGAGCTCATTTATGCGGCTCATTGTGTGCGTGGTTTTGTCTTTAAGGAAAGAAAAGCTCAGTGTGGTACTTGTTTGATTAGCAATTTACATCTCTGCGACAGAATTGGCGGGATGCCTGTGTTTGGATGTTTCGTTCTTAATTTGCATTTTTAATGAGGTATGACTTAAATGGGCTCGAAGCCGCATTGCTTGCCGATGACCACAAAAAGACTGGCTTTCTAGAATCCTCATGTAGGTTAGCTGTAACCCTACAGCTTTCAGTTTAGCTGCCTGAGTGTCATGTGAAGTTTCATTACAAGGCAATTTTTTATATTAAAATAAAAAATTACACCACCTTATTTGAAGCATGCAGAGAGGCAAGAAAGCCTTTTCTGGTTTTTGCAAGCTGTGTCTTGCTCTTGCTTAGATGAGACCATCTCTCACGGGAAGGGAACTGCTCTGCTTAGCATCTGCACTGCATAGCTGGAGGGCAGGACCTCTGCCTGCCTGCAGAACAAATCAAGGTCCTGGCTTCTGCACTGCTCCCCATCCACAGGCACCTTCATCATCACTGCATTGTGTGCTACAACCAAGGAGACCAATTTTTAGAGGAAAGCAAGAAACTTCATTTGGCTCACTGAGGAAAAACTAGTTGCTTTGTACTGCTTTGCTCAGGCTGGCCCAGCTTTTCCCTCGTCTTGCTGTATTTCAGCTTTCACCAAGCTATATGACAATATCTTAATGAGCAGGATGATGGGGACAGATGAACAAAATAATCTTGGAGGTGTGGGAGACCTCTACATAAGGAAGCTGTCGTCACTCGCATAGCAAGGAAGCAAAGGTGCAAAAGCAACCTCCCTGCCAGAAGTTCAGTGGATCATCTTTGAGCTTCTTGTTGTTGCCAGGAGTTGATAAGCCTGGGAACCGTGGGGAAACCGAGAGCTCTGGGGTGTCTCCCAACGTACTCAGATTTAAGCAAATAGAAGCAGATTTTACCCATGTCTCAATCTACGCATGATAAGAGCCAACTACATCAAATGCGACCACATGGCTGGCCAGTGTGACTTAAAAATATGATGGTCATGGTTAGTGGGCATGGTGGTGATGTCTGACAGCTGGAGTAGATGATCTTAGTGGTCTCTTCCAACCTTTACAATTCTTCAATTCTAAGGAATGAAGAGAGGCACTTTATGCCTTTCTGCTTGCCTTGGCTTTCTGAAAACCACCTTGCACTTCATGCTGAAAGAAAACCAAGTTGCTTGGTAATTGCAGTTCACCACATTCCCAATGCCTGTGCAGCAGAGGCTGGGAGATGTTTTGGATGATGAACTTGAAAAAAAACTTCAAAATATTGTAATTTAAAAAGAAAAACATACCTCCTCAGAGTCATCTGCCATACAGAGTCTACTCAGCATGCATCTCAGTGAGAAAAAACTGTGGGACTGCTTGCCTCCTGATCTGTACTGAGGCAGCTGAGGCATAAGCACTTTTTTTTTTTTTTTCAGGTAGGATGGGGTAAGTATTAATACTTACATGCCCTGAAAGGTGTGAGCTGCTGCTATGCAGATACCCTTTTTGATGGCAAGGGACTCTTTACAGGTACTTCATTATTCTGAATCTTCTATTCCTCTGTCAAATCTACTTGCAATTGGCTGACATTTCAGGTGTTGTTATGAGTGATACACATATGTCATGATCACATAAAATCTTTCCTATAGGAAATCAGGCTTCAATAGTTTGAAGTTACTCATGTTGCTCCATCATGAGCTGTGTCTAAATCACCTTGAACTTCCGCTGATGTAGAAGAAACAAGATTTCTGTGCAGTCACTCTGAAGATCTCTCAGTTTGCCTTGCATGTTTATGATTGATGCAGTCTCATTGAGTTTTTTGGTAAAAAGCTGCAGAGCTTATTCAAGACTGACAGTCACAGAAGTGCCTGTATTTTAATTTGTGATGAATACTGGCATGACCATAAATATTGGTACATCTTTGAGACTGTGGAGACCTGAAATTTATACAGTCAGGGAGGGAAGGGGGAAGCTTTATCTACAGCCTTGAATTTATTCATATCTTGACTTTTCTCGGTCGCCGTGGTTCAGGGCATGTTTTATTCTCTCAGCAGAAGACTGTGCTGATCTCTGCTGTGGGGCTTCTGGCACAGACCTTTCTGCCTATTTAAATTCCATTGGAAGGGGAAGAATTCAATGAGTGCATAGAGCTGTCATTTGAGAGACATCTTTTCCTCCATGATAAATTCATATATACAGTTCCTGTCACTTATCTAATTATGAAATTTCATCGGACATTTACTATAAGACTGTTTTTACGCTTTCTTAGTCCTCTGTGTATAAACGGAGCTGTGATTTGCAGCGTTGCAAACACGACAAGATATTATTATTTTAAACATCATGTGAAACTTTCTTAGAATTTATATTCATCTGTCTTGTACCCAGTCACTTCCATTTTATCTTCCTGTCGCCTGGAATGAACTAGGAATGGAAATATAATTTCCCAGGGGCCTGAAAAAAATGGGGGGAGTATTAAACACAGTTGAAATTAAGCGATTAATAATTTAGTTTTAGGCCATGAATCAACTTCATGGGATCACACAGACCATATGCAATGCTCGAAACATTAGTAGAAACAAAACACTCTGGAGGATCAGGGAAATAAAACGCTCTAAAGGGGAAGTTGCTGAACCTAATTAAACCACAGCCTTCTGTTATCAAAATCATGCTTCCTGTTTGCAACAAATTTGCTCTGATCAGCTTGATGGAAAAATGTCATCTCACTTGGCTGTTGACAGGCAGCTTGTGTTGCATCAGATCTGGAGAGGAAAGCTGAGGTTAAAGCAAAAAAGGCTCCATAGCTACTCATCGGAGCCCTTCCTTAAAATAAAATGTTTTAAGGTATTTTTTGATGGACACAGAAAGCCCTAGCAGATAGGCCTTGTGCCATTTTCCCCCTGCTTCCTCCAAAGGTAATTATCTTATTCCATCAATAGCACTGTCAGAAATCGGGCACATAATTCAGCATTTAAATGAACAAGCAATGTAATATTTCCTGTCTCCCACTGGCGTGTTTTGCAGCTCACATTCTTCTCTGTCACTTGCTCACTCTTGATGTATGTCCTGGGTGCAGTCCTTGAATGCCTTCTCTCCCCTGTGTTTCATTACAGATGTTGGCTCCGACTTGATACCTACTTCATTTGGAGCTTTATAGGACCAGCGACCTTGATAATTATGGTAAGAACTCCTAATTAACTACTCCATCTCTCAGGTCAAGAAATAAAACTTTTGCTGTCCCTTTAGTCTGTATCTTTAATTTACACAGATTAGTTTGAGAAAGGCATGTTCTTCTGTGACCCCACCTGGCACAAGCAATTAGAGGCTCGTTACAGGAGGCTCTTTATGTGGTGAAATACTCGATCAAATCAGGGAAGGGAGGGCATGTAGTACATACTCCGGGCACTGCCTTGGAGCAGGTGGGCGGACAGCTTGGTTTGTGCTGTTAGATGCTCAGAAGTACCAACCTATTGTATATATATGGATGCCACCTACTGTCCCTGCTTTGGAACTCGTGCAAACCTTTGCGTGGATCATGCAGAAAAGGAGATCTGAGGTTAAGGGGATGTAATAAAGTCAAAACTGGAAGAGAGGTTTTATGGAGAGGGTCTCCTCCCCTGCAGAAGTTGAAATTCCTGTGACTTTACACTTAGCATGTTGCTATCATATCAGCTACCACAGCAACAAGGTAAAGAACACAACTTTAGAGACAGCTGGAGTTTTCTGATACTTTAATCACTACAATATGGCTTCAATAAACCATCCTTTGTTTTGAATAGACTGGAGTTTGGCTAACACAGCAAACCACGAGCTCATGTCAATACAGACATTGTCTCTGGTTCTTCTGCTGCTGGAGAGTATTTCAGCAGCCTTTCACACCAGCTCCAGCTGGGAGCTGCACCACCAGCCAAATCTGTTGTGTTTGTTTTTCCTCTCAAACAATGCATTCACAAAAAGATATCTTCCTTTTTTCATTATGTCTAAAACCCTGGCTTGGGCTTTTGGGAACTCCTTTCCAGGAACTGGTGACCCTGCTAACACTGAAGTGTTGAAACACCATCATGTCTTTTACTGAATACCTCAGACTCTTTTTGCTTTGCTTTGCACTGTGCTGAGCATCTTCAACAAGAATAATTTCCCTGCCCATCTCCTCCACTACACCTTATTTAAAAGGTAAATTCACAGAAGAAGTTGCTTGTTGATTTGCTTTCAATGAAGCTGGTTAAGCAAGAAACTTAGAGACTTTTCATGAGCGTGTACCTCTCAGACATGGATGAGCCATTAGAGAATTGTTTTTAATTTTCCGTAACGTCATTTGAAGCACTACAGTTGATGTTGGAACCAGCCCTATATCAGTAACATACACTGCTCCACAGCTTTGTAATGCTGTGACATCCCTGCTCCATAGCCTGCAGGCTGGCTCACCTTATAAAATACTTGGCAATTTTCTGTTATTCAGTCTGTATAAAACTGTAGTGAGAGCTAATTTTCTAGAGCAACTCATCTGTTACAGAAACTGAAACTGTTACAGAGAAAAGTCTGATTCCTCCCTATCACATTCTGCCATGTCATGTTGCCTTTTTCTTTCCTCCCTCTTTTTGCAGCTTAATGTAATCTTCCTTGGGATTGCTCTCTATAAAATGTTTCATCATACTGCCATACTGAAACCTGAATCTGGATGTCTTGACAATATCAAGTAAGTGGTTGTGGTTTTTTTCTTTCTCTCTGCTTCTTTCTTCCTTTGCTGTTTATGCCCCTGTTCCTCTATGATGGCATGCAAGGAAACCAACTCTGCTGACAGCGGTGATAATAAGGTAGTGGATTACAGCACTGCAGAACGGTTTCTAATGGATACCAACAAGTGGCTATTGTTGAAAGACTGTCTTTAAAGCGATTCAACTCGTGTTAGTGTTCAGTCAGTGCATTTTCCATTCAATTTTGCACGAAGGAAGCAAAGTTACATTTGCTATCCTTGAAGAAGGCAACCTAGTCCCTTTACATAAGAGGAAGTTGCACCTGATAATTACCATGTAATTACTGCCGTCTCTACAGGGAAGGTGTTGAAACTGTTGATCATTACTATTTCTCCATGCTCTGAGTACAGCAGTCTTTCTTCTTTTCTGTTTATTTTGGCCGCTGACAGATTTAATGACCCAAATTCTCCCTGGAATCTGATTAGTTTCATCCAAGTTACTGGAGTTTACCTGGGGATGCTTATAGCAGAGGACACAATCGCCAACCAAGGTGTGCTTACCCTTGGACTTAGATAATAATGTCTGAGCCAGGGCATCTCACTGTCTAGCAAGCTGCCTCATTACATTGATGGAATATTATTCTCCATCACTGCTTGTTTATTCAAGTACCTCTGCCTTTAATTACTTGGTTCAGAAATACAAGTGGGATTTCAGGTGCAGCATGTGATAAGATGGGGAGCCTGCTAATTAATAAAACAATCTAATGAATTTCAGAAGGAAATTGTTGGTGTCAGCGCTTTACTGCACACCTAAGAAAGCACAGTGTTGTGTGACACCACTGCAAGCTAGTATCCATTCTCTTCTGTGGCAGGAGCTGGGGAACAGGCAAGAAAGGAGCTTGTTAGGAATGGCTGAATGGTAGCATTGCAAGATGGTTCTCAGCAAGGTTATTGTTGATAATGTTGAGCTGCAATTGCAGATGTCCCTTTGATTTAAAGTAGGTCAGTCCCTCTTTGAAAACTTCCCAAAAAGCAAACTTCCAAAAAAAGCAAAAACTTGCAGTGCCACTGGCATGCCATGGCAGTAGTCTACAGGGTGAAGTTTTTGTTTCTTAGGCTCAACCTTGCATGCATGCAGGCAAAGCTGAGAAAGACCATGATTTTGTGAGCTCAGGGACCTGCAGGGTATTCATCTGCTGTGTTTGTCCTTGCCATGGTTAGGGACAGACTGCTCTGTGGTGTGTCACTGTTTCTCCTGCCATCATTTAGCTGTAAGGTGAAATTGGAGGAGCAGGCCCTCCTGGATGTCTGGGTCCAATCTCAGCATGGTAGTCTTTCATTCATTTCATATGGTCTTGGTCGAGGTGTTAAAGGAATGGTACATTTAGCAGCACTAGAGACTTGCTATATGACTGACTACTCGTCATGCATTAGTGATAAGGAATTGCTTGCTGAGACAGTCTTTCTAAGGTTACCCACACAAAATCTGTCTAGAAAACCTTTCAGAATGACATTTAAATTAAAAATTGGGAAAAAACAAAACAACAACAAAAAACCTCCAAAGCCTTTATAATTAAAGCAGAGATAATAATTGCCTACTGAGTATTCTTGTTTGTGCTAATCTGTAATATCTTTGTTTAAAATGCCAGGAATTTATACAACCAGTTATGTCAATTATCATGTCATTGTAAAATATTTTATGGGCTCTTTGGCAGAGGAGTGTCTATTCGTGATTTGACTTCATTAAAACGTTTTGAAAACACAAGCAATTAAAGTACTCTAAGTATGTTGCTGATACCCTTCCAAATATGTTTCTTTGTTACAAGAAACTTGTTGTGCTTTTAAAAAAGAGAGAGAAACATTATGCAAACTCAGGAGGATCCTGAGGCTCACTCCAATAAGTTTATCAAAACAAGATTTTCAGAAGTGATTTGATTTGCAATGTGTACCTATGCAGAAAAGCGTTAAGTTTCTAAATCAAAGGTACCTGCTTTCTCAATATCAGATATACTTGAGTTTTAACAGAGGGGAAAATTCACTTTATGAAAGCTTTTCTAGGGTTGCAAAGGACTCATCATCTCCAGAAGTCCTTTAGGTGCAATCATGGTCTTCTAGGTAAGATCATGATCTTCCTAAATCTGTGCTAATGCTGTTGCAAAATGTGGATGTGGTACAGCAGCTCTAGAATAAAAAACAACAAGTAATGTTGTTTTAGAGGTGACCACTGAGATCCTTTCTGAGCTTACCTCTGTGGGTTTACAGGGTTGGTAAAAAAAAGATACCCAAGTATGTTTCTCTACAAGAATACTGCCTTTGGTGGCTCTCAGCATGGTTCCAGAGCACTGGATCTTGTCTTGTCAGCTTATATTTAAAAAACAAGCAGAATCGAAGGCGTGGATTGGAGGGCCCCTTGCTGTGATCTGCATTTGACAGCTTTATGGCACATGAGGACCTGAATGGGAGTTTGTTCTCCCAGTTCATTTCCTAGCGCTGTTCTGTGTTAGGCTGTGGTGAAGCTGTTGCAACATAAATCCCAAACCAGTTCAACAACAGCAAAATACTTGATTCCCTATGGCAACGTAAAAATAAAGGCCATAAAATATTTTAATAGGCTGTTAATAAGCACTCCTGCAATCTGGTGCTTGCCTGTGTCACTTTAAAGGTTAGAAATACATTATGAAGTATAGAAAATAGAGAGCCAAATAACTCCACTTAAATTAATGGACTTGATAAGGGATCAGGTGTCACCTGGGATGCCTTTAATTACTGCACCAACAGAAAAGCCATTCAAAGGGCAGTGCCTGAACCAGATGCTGTATAGCTGAAAGATTTGTAGGCACTGAGCAAAGTTGTAAAAATAAACTTCCATAACCTTCAGAAACAATCTGTGTATTATTGTGCCAGCATGGGAGAATCTGACATTCCTTCAGTGGAGCACTGGGTACCCAAGAGTTACACAGCGAGAGATTCAAAGAGTAAATACCTGGTTTACTTTTTACCCACATTATCTTTTCCAACTTAACCCAGCACTTTGGAGAAGGGCAAATCCATTGAGGAGCTGCAGCTGGTATGTGGGTCCTTTGCCACGCTGAGAGCATCCTCCCTGTGTGGCTGGTTGGTATTGAGCCAGCTCAGTAGGCTGCACCCACTGAAAGAGTGAGGTTTGTGCCCTAGTCCTGCTGTTGAGGTGTGTGGTTTTTCACAATGGGGTTGCACTTTCTGAGAGAGAAGCTTTCTTTGGCTTGTATTTCCACATCAAATATTCCTGCATGGTGAGGAAAAGATGTGAGCTTGTGTACGTGGGTATATGCTGTTCAGAGCTGCGAGAGTTTCTGTGCCAGCTGCTGACAACAGAAGGGCAGAATAGCTGCCATTTAATGACAGGTACTGTCAACAGGATCTTTTGAAAAAGATGAGTTTGATTTCCTCTTCAGTACATTTAAACAGAAATGTTAAGAGCTTGCCCTGGGTGAGGATCTTTACTGCCTTTTAAAGATCACTTCAGTATGAAGCAGTGCAGAGAAGGATGCCAGAATTCTGCTTGCATGGGTGATATGTGTAGCATTTGACCCTGCATCCCCAAATTCTGGGTGGGAGAGGATTTTTTCTTCCCGCCTTTTCCAATGGCCATTTTTAGGCTGGGAGATTCTTCCTTCAGCCCACACAGTGATGTCACGGTGGTCCAGTGTGGCTCTCATCTCTTCAGGACCCATCAGCAGGGACAACTAAGCTGAGATGTGTGGCAGGAAAGATCATTTTGTCTTTGGTAGCTTGGCCAGCATCTTTTGTATCTCACTCGCTGCCTATCTGAGAGCGTAAATGGGGTATTGCTGGAATGGTGCAGGAGGTTGCTCATGAGCACAAACTGATCAACTGTCAACAAATGGACCCAGCAAGGCTTTGTATTGAAGGATTAATTGCTGCAGTTCCTCTGAACCTACTGGGAAGGCATGCTGCTGAAGGAAAGTGGTTCTTCTAAGCCAGGGACAATGCCAGCTTCTGGATGGCAAGCGCTATGCCACTTGCATCTCTAGCCTAGAAGGTGGAGACTGTCAGCATATCGGTATGTATTGATGCACTCTTGCTAGCAGATGGCTCCTTAGGAAGACATGACACCAGCTGGAATACTTTTAGAGCAGCTGTGAGGCTGTTTTACCGGAGATTGCTGCTGTGTAGAAGGATTTCTGGAATTGAGCAGCTCTGAGCCTCTGATTCATGCTTTTCTATCATGCTGGGTGGATGTTAGATGTGTGAAATGTCTCACACTGTCGGAGACAGGAGTACACTGCATCTTTTTTATATTCACATTCCTGTAAGAAGTCTTATGTGACAAAGGAAAATACATCTATATGTGAGTTAGTCCAGCGTGGTTCTGAAGTTTTCCATCCATCAAACCCTTCTCGGGTGGTCAGGCATGTAGACTGGCTGCTTGCTGGACAGAGTCACCACACAACAGGCTTTCATCCGACCTGTGTCAAATGCTCCAGCATGACAAATCACCCAGGTGTTGCCTAGTGCTTAAGCCTCAGTCTCTGTGCAAAATGTAGGATTTCAGATGAACCACCTCCTAAAACACCTCTGTGTTGTGTGACAGTGCACAGCACTTAGGTGACAGCCTCAATCTGCAGCTATTTAAGTGTTTCTCATTAGAAACCTCAGGGCATTAGTAAAGGAACAAGAAAGAAGGGGCTGTACTGATGGTAATCCAGCCATGGTCTTCACCAGATCTACTGAAATCTGTTGTCTTCTCATTGCTGTGTGGTGTACCTTGCAGTGCTGAGATATGTTGATGTTTCCCGCAGCTGCACCAGCCTTCCTGACATTCTTCTGTACTGTAGTTATGTGGGCAGGGAGATTTGATTTTATTTGGTTTGGAAGAGTGACATGGAAGCTTTAGCTGCTAAGCTACATACCCACTAAAAAGAAGGCAGGCAGTGGAGGGCTTTGTCAGTTGGAGGGCTTTTTCATTCCTCTTTTGTCCCATGTAGGTGCATTATTGCTTT